ATTACGGAACGGCTTTTCTCACAGTGTTTTGTTTTGTCGTACGGAGAGGTGTTCGAGATGAGTTCAAAATCGATTCAGGGAGTTCAGAGTCTTATTAGAAGAGACATCTAGTTCTGAACTTGATTATGACATTGAGCACGACGATAGACGATGTCTCCAGATATGATGCATATAGAAACGCTGGTTGCGTTCAGAAGGAATAGGAGGACAGCCTTGAGCATATACTTGGGAGCCTTTGGATGAACGAAGATGGCTGAAGAGCTACTTTGCAAGGAGAACCAGGGCCGAAGAGTTCTTTTGTCATTTTTATTACCACAACCATACACAACACACGATCAGGCATTTCGATGTACGTGTTACCGTATTCTTTACATAATAAACAAATAGCGTGCTCAGTGTGTTCCGTAATCTACATCACTAAGCACTAGACCCATGCCCTTCAAATAGCGCGGCTTTTGCTCAAAATATATGAAAGTCAACTTTTTCAGGTGGCGAAAAAGGACTAAACGACAGAGCATACCCTCAGAACAACACTGCTAGTCGATTTAGGGTCTGTTTTTTGTCCAAAAAACACTATTTCCTTCACTGCTTGATATACACTTTAAAACTCACCAAAAACGCCTGTTAAAGTTGGTTTTTCTTCACAATACATTTTCTCACCTGGTGGTACGGGGGACCGACGGCGTTGTAGGTTTAGGCGGAAGCGGTGGTTTCGTATCCGTTGGTGAATTTGTTGTCAGTGTGTCTAAATACAAAGCAAATTTTGTTAAAAGCTTTAAGAAATAGGCTGTACCTTCATTTTTGAGCTGATTCGGCAGCTTTGTATTTAAGGGAACGATAAATAAATCTCGCAGCCTTCTTTTCGGGGGGGGGGGGATGGCAGCCTTTTTGGAGGGGAACTTGAATCTAGCAGAGAGGTGGTGGAGAGCTAAACCACTCTGCCACTCTGAAGGAGGGGGTATTGAATAACTAAATTGATGAAAACATTATAACGGGTATTCGTTAAATTTTTATGTAGAAAGTTCTTTAAAGCAGTTGCTTGCTTTCCCCTGTTCTCTATGTGTTCCTTTCCCGCATTGTTTATGATTCTAGAGATATGACTTTCCATGACCTATCCATCAGGAAATGTTACTGTTGGGGAATGGTTATAGGTGAATAGGTTACACTACCCTATCGCAAATTGTGAATTGATATACGTTTTGAGAGTAGCGTAGACATTTGGGAATATGGGTGAGAACTTGCCCTTCTGTTATTGACCAATTTTTCCACAAGATTTTTTTTTAGGTGCTGGATTGAGGATTAGCATCAAAAAAATCCATCAAGGTTTGCTAAATATGCTTCTGTTAAATGCTCTCTATGCCGAATGATATCAATCAAAAAGAAGCTTATAGATGCTTTCTTTTAAAACTGTTCTCATCCTTAAAATTTTACTCAATTGCTCCATCAGACTATGGAAAATTATCCGTTCCAGGGGGCTAATTTGAGGATTTGCGGTAGTAGCAATACAGAATAAAGATGCGGCAGCACCTTTTCCACAATGAATCATTTCTTAGTTTCTTCTAAAGCAAATTAAATATACCTTTGTCAACACACTCGAAACTGATTTGTAAATACTTCGAAATTCCCGGACAAGGATCTCCATGCAAGGAACTAAGGGCTTGTGCGATGCCAATTGATCTGCCTTGTGCGTAGAATCTTGCATACTTTGTGGCATCAACAGAGCAGGACGTATCGCTTATGTCTCCGGTCGTACAGTAGGCTGTGGATCTCCTTCCGTAAAACGCACTCAAGATATTGATGACCTTTCCTGGTGCACATCCCAGAAACGTAGAATAGTTCTCGCAGATTGTTTCTAAAAATTTTGAAAAGATTATGACTAAGATTTTTTTGCCTAAAAATCTGTAAAAAGAAAGATAGAAATAAAGGAATATGTTGTATATCGAATCCAATTTGATTAAAGGTTCTTTTCCTACAAAATGGCATTGCACAAACAGTGAGGTTTTTATAATGTGGAACATTCTTTTAACAAAATTATACAGCTGCTTACTTGTTTTTATGGGACTTTCTGTCGTTGTCTTTGGTGCTGAAAAGTGAATGACACCTTTTAGTACAAAATTCACATCTTCGTACTATCAACATTCTGTGTTTTCTGGTACTAGTTTCAATAACTTATAAGAAACACCTTGTCGTATAACAAAATAGTATGGCCTAGTGAGACTTACTTGTTGTCGGTGGAGGTGTCGGTGGAGGTGTCGGTGGAGGTGTCGTTGTGGCTGAAATTAAGATAATATCAATAATTGTAAAATTAATTTTTAATTTCGAATAATTATAGCAATATTTTCTACTAACATACGCTTGTACAGGATACACGATTAACTTGCCGGTCTAGAACTGTTTGATTTTTTATAACAATGGCGGGGATAGTGGTATGTTCTTCTGTTTTTAATTGTATAGATACCCATGAAAATAGTCTCTTACCACACTTTGTAGTTTTTTATACCTGTTCACCCATTGACGCTCTACGCCAAAAGGAAATACTGTTAAAAGTATTCAAATATTTGCTAGGAATGATTCAAATTTCATTGGACTGTAATAAAAGTCATTTTTCACCCCAGGAAGAAAAGTAATTATGCCTCAATGTCAGGTGAATTTTAGAAAATGAATATACAGAATTGAGATATCGGCTAGAAACATGAAGCTGCATCTTCTGCAATGTGATGACCTTAAAGGACAAGTGACACGCTTTTGGCGCCAAATTTTTAATGCTGTATGAGAGTTTTGTCGAAATATTTTTCCTTTCTGATTTCATTTTCCTACTTAAAAACCCTTTTCAAATTATGGCGGGAAATGAATCACGTGACACCGTGACGTAGATTGTGATAATTTGTTATTGCTGCTACTGGTATACAGTGCAATATTAACGTTTACAAAACGCTTCTAAACGAATTCAGTTCGTCTGGACCTGTCGCATCGTGTTTCGTAAACTCTCTATCAGTGACAGGAAAATTCCGAGTTATCACAATGTACGTCATAGGGTCACGTGATAAAAAGCAAAATCGCGCCCCCTGCGCCCCCTGATTAGAATTTTCTGTTCTAAACCAGGACAAACTTACTTCTAAATGATGATCTATAAGTTGATGGAAAAAAAAGATAGGGTGAAAAGTGGGTCACTTGTCCTTTAAGTAATAAAATAGAAATTTTACAAATGATGTTTAGTGCAGGGTGCGTTATCTCCCAGCGTCATAATCAATGGTGTCATCAGAAGCAGCTCCAAGATGATCGCATTTAAGGATACTATCGGGGTAGCAACTTTGATCCTGCTATAAAATCCGAAGCGTTTTCAACTCTCTTTATAAGGAACCAAGCATTACGCCCCACTTAACAGCTATTATGACATCAGATGATTTAGCTGGAGGTGCAGTAGGAAGTTTTAAAGAAGCTGTCGTCTGTTTCCAAAAACCGTTCTGTCAATGTACCCTAGTGAACCACAAGTCATCCTTTCAGTCACTGTGAAAGAGTTTTTCCTAACAAAATAGTACATTTTGTCGAAAGCGCCAACATATCTGGTTTAAATGTACAAAAGTAAAAACTTACATTTTAGCACACACTCATAATTGATTTCTAGATATTTTGAAATTCCCGGACAAGGATCTCCATGCAAGGAACTAAGGGCTTGTGCGATGCCAATTGATCTGCCTTGTGCGTAGAATCTTGCATACTTTGTGGCATCAACAGAGCAGGACGTATCGCTTGTGTCTCCGGTCGTACAGTAGGCTGTGGATCTCCTTCCGTAAAACGCACTCAAGATATTGATGACCTTTCCTGGTGCACATCCCAGAAACGAAGAATAGTTCTCACAGACTCTCTCTAAAAGATCAAGATACAACAATAATTTTTGTGACTGAGCTCGTTGTCATAACTTAGTATACTTTACAGTTTAAAAATGTAAATTTATCAAAGCTCTCCTAGAAAGATATAGCAAGCAAAAAATGTAGTTGATTCTTCAACGATTGTAATTTTACGTTTGAAAATGAGCTGGGCATTTACCTGATAGGCCACGTAGGAACTCTGATGAATGAAGTAATGTCGGTTGAGGAGTGCGAATATCGAATGATCAGATAATGGTGGAAAATCAGCGTGAATATTTGTTGATAACACATGTTGATGATGGGTGTAGTTGTTTGTTGATGACGTAATGGTTGTTAATGAGTTTGCTTTGACATAATGGTGTTTGCTTTGCGAGAACACTGGTTGACAACGTGGCATATGGTAATTGATGAATGTGAACGTCAATGGTTGTTGGATGCTGGATGCTGACGTTATTGGTGAGTGTATGTGGTTGGTAAGCGAGAACGTTGGTTGATGACGTAATGGTGATTGATGAGTGGGAACGTAAGTTGATGACGTTATGATGGATAAGGAGTTTAAACATTGATCGATGACAAAATGGTGGTTGGTGAGCGAGAACGTTGGTTGATGACGTAATGGTGATTGATGAGTGGGAACGTAAGTTGATGACATTATGATGGATAAGGAGTTTAAACATTGATCGATGACAAAATGGTGGTTGGTGAGCGAGAACGTTGGTTGATGACGTAATGGTGATTGATGAGTGGGAACGTAAGTTGATGACGTTATGATGGATAAGGAGTTTAAACATTGATCGATGACAAAATGGTGGTTGGTGAGCGAGAACGTTGGTTGATGACGTAATGGTGATTGATGAGTGGGAGCGTAAGTTGATGACGTTATGATGGATAAGGAGTTTAAACATTGATCGATGACAAAATGGTGGTTGGTGAGCGAGAACGTTGGTTGATGACGTAATGGTGATTGATGAGTGGGAGCGTAAGTTGATGACGTTATGATGGATAAGGAGTTTAAACATTGATCGATGACAAAATGGTGGTTGGTGAGCGAGAACGTTGGTTGATGACGTAATGGTGATTGATGAGTGGGAGCGTAAGTTGATGACGTTATGGTTGTCAATGAGTGTGAATACTGCATCATGACGGTATACTGGTTAAGGAGATTGAAAGTTGTTCAATGGCATAATGGTGATTGATGAATATAAACATTGGTTGATTACAAAATGGTTGTCGATCAGTGAAAATTTTGGTCTATATAATAACTTTGGTAAGTAACTGTTAGAGTTTTTGATACCGTAATGGTCGTGGATAAATGTGAATGCTGAATTATTAGGTCATGATGGATTACGAGTTTCAACGTTGAGTGATGACGAAATGGTGATTGATGAGTTGAAACATTGGTTGATGAAAAATGGTGATTGATGTGTGTGAACTTTGGTTGATGATCTAATCGTTGTTGATGAGTCTGAATGCTGGATGATGACGTTTTATGGAAAAAGAGTTTAAACGTCATTTGATGACAAAATGGTGATGATGAGTGGTAACATTGGTTGATGACGTAATAGCGATGTATGAGTGTGAAATTTTGTTGATAATGTAATCGTTGTTGATGAGTGTCAGCATAGGTTAGTTAATGTGTGTGATTATTGGTTTATGATGTAATGGTGATCGATGAATGGGACTTCTGCTTCACATTCATAGATAACGTAATCATGGATAATTACGTTGGTACATGTGAATTTATTCATTAATCGCGTAATAATAGATAATAAGTGGCAAGTAGGAAAGCACGCGCATCAAATTGGCCATGCTATAGCCTCTCATGTCCATAGTAACTGGGAGATAAATTTTCATTGTGGTAGAGTACAGTCCACACGTATACGCCAACGTTAGTAAACGTATACTTTTTTATGCGTCTACCCTTTCCGTCCACATGTGAACGTAGTTTTAGCTCTTGTTGCTCCGCTCCTTATGTCACAGTTTCCATTGCAACATCTTGGGCCTTTTTATTTGGTGCCTTAAAGCTGGTGAATACGGATTACACATAATTCATTTTAGTGCGAGCCTTCTTTTTTACTGCAGTTACTTCACATCAGCATGGCTCAATTTTCGTGTTTTTGGAGATGTTGAATTTGTTTAGATATAGGCAAAAATCAAGAATATTCCTTCATTTGCTATTTTCAGTATTAAACCCTGATACATTTTCCAATATTGTCCGCTAAAAAGTCATCTTATAACTTTTATGAAACTTGCTATAGCTATTTGAATCTTGGTTACCAAAAACACTTTACTACAGTGCCGCCATTTTTGTCTCAGCCTGTACAATACATTTGCTCACTAAGTGTATAAATATAAATCTTACTTTTCTTTATTGAGCTTTCCGTCGTGGGGACTTGAGCTGAAACAAATAAAAATGTCTTCACTAGGCTTAGAAGAAAAGTTCCATTTGGAACCGTTCTAAAGTTTCTCGCAGCCTAAGACCCCATCTTGGAATGCCTTAATCAATATGGCTACAATCTACTTTTCAAGAATAATGAAAGTTAAATAGAAAGTATAACTGCTTTTGATTCAAAATAATTCTTATTACAAGTAAATTTGTCCTTTTTTGTAAACTATAGATGATGGATCGCAAACGGGTCTATGCGTTTCTGAAGGCCAAAAACACTCGGTGCTATTGTAGCTTCGCACCTTTTAGCGTATGTATGGCTACTCATAAAACAATACATAGTGGTAGGTGCGGATCAGCGTCCAAGAGGTGCGAAATTGCATTAGTGCCCCACCTCCAACATTTTTAAGGCGTTTGAAATGAGGGTTTGCATGGCTAAGTGAACTGGTGTTCAAAAATTTCTCAAAAAATGTTTGTTCAAAATTATTTGGATTAAGAATCTGTTTTTTCATGGCTAAGAAAATAGTGGGATATATTTTTCTTTTCTAAACCCGAATGGGTAACTCGTGAAGTCAGCAAAGTCGAAACAATACTTGAATAATCGCTTTTGATTGGCTGGATGGCGAAAATGTGAAAAAACCTCTTTCTGGTTATAAACTGTACTTAATGTATACCCTTTCCCGTTAATTTATATCAATCACTAGAATAGGTTTTCCTCAAAAATTTGAGAATGCTCAAAAAGTCTTACTTGTTGTAGAAGAAGCTGTCACTTGAGCTGAAATTGTAAAGATATATAAAACTGATTAATTGTACAATTTTGATAGAAAAGAAGAAATAATGATATGAAAAGACTTGATTGTAAAGACTTTTCATAAGGATGTTGAAGTCTTGCAGGAAAAGTGGAGGGATTTTGTGGGAGAGGGGATAAGGTGCCAATTCCAAAGAATATTTTTATTGCACCCTCACTTGGCCGAAAGTCGTTTTATTCCAATTCATATGCTTAAAGAGGATAGCCCTTCAGCAATGAAAGCTTTAAAAAGATTGACCAATTTTGATGTACAGTGGAATCCCGACATAACGAAACCCAGCTATAACGAACTTCCCGGTATAATGAACTAAATGTCTGGCCCCTTAGATTCTGCCTAACAAACTCCTTACAAATTCTCTCGGTATAACGAACCCTGTATATAACGAACTTTCGTTATCACAAACCAATTTTTAGGTCCCTTCATCATAATTACCCTCGATATAACGAATTTTGCATAATTTTTTCATCTGCAATTTTTGTTTATTTATCCCCCGTGTTCATTTATCACTAAGTCTTAGGGGAAATCATGTTTGTAATCGTCAAAACATGCCGATGATACATTTCAAGTATTGGCTGATGGACTCAGAGCACGAGACAAAAGTTTGATCGCGTCAGAAATTTCTGCAAATGAGTACCTTCTTACCACTTTATTGAGAGACCCAGTTGAAGAAGCAAAGAAGACAAATAGAACGAAGATCAATAAAAATTGAAATAATCGAAGACGGTATTCAGCTACCAGTTAAAAGTGAAGTGATACCAGCTTTGCTAATCTCTTAGTCCAAAATTATACGACGAACATCAAGTTTTTCATTTTCAATGACCAACTAGTAGTATTATTTGAATTAGGCTTGGTTTTTTGGAGTTAAATGTGGACAGATATTGGAGATAGCCTAAACAAGCCCACCGAAGGTTTTTTAGGCGTGAACGGCAAAATAAGCTAAAAAACATTTTCTCCCGGTTTAACCAACTCCCCATATGACGAACTATTTTCTGGTACCGTTCAGATTCCGTCATATCTGGATTCCTCTGTTGTTTTCAAAGCCTTGTTCAAGATCAAATAGAAACATAGACTGTGCCGTCGTCCCGTTTACACTGTGCCGCATAACTGAAATCACGTGACCCAAGTCATGCACAGAACACCCACAATGAGGTCATTGCTAGGCAACAAAATCACAATAATCAAAATATTCACTCCAAAACGCTAAAGGTACAAAGATTTTTCACTCTCTCTTCAGAATCATCTGCTCTTCCAGTTAAGACGAAGTCCGAGGACATTGTCAAAACATATCAGACCTAGTTAGCTTTATTAATTCATTCTCTGCTGAAGCAACCTGTCGCTGAAATTGCGAAAATGTAGGAAATCTGACAAGGATACAAATTTCAATACAAATAGTTATCAACTACAAGGCAGCCAAGATGGCGAAAGATCTTGATTGGTAAACAGTTAAAACCAAATACGATGAAATAGCCAATCGTTTTCAAGCAAGATACGATTTGGATAAAATTTATCCGGATAAAACCGCTTACACTGTACCACATAGCTATCTGAACTAGTTTAATCCACTTTCCTAGATGAACTAATTATTTTTCGGATAGCCGCTCTCAGATTGGTGCGGATAGCGAGGGTCTAGTGCAAATGCAGCGCTTATCTGAACTAATTTTGATTTGGACAAAATTTATACGGCATAGTGTAAACGGCGCATTTGTGATACAGCTTGATAATGCTAATCACTACCGTCACCTTGATAATTAAGTCTGCGCAATGGCGGCGCCAGCCACTACAGAGTTAGGGGCTATCATGCCTAAAAATTTGAAAATGAAATGAAATGAAAAAGTGGGAGGATAATTACCAATATATTTCCCCCTGGCGCCGCCATTGATTCTAAGTAATTCCCCGCCCATGATCTTACCTTTACAGGTGTATCTATAGGAAAGCGATTCCCAAACAGCAGTGCAAGGGTTCCCGAGCAAGTTGGTGTCAACGACGCAAATTGTTTTTCCTGAACATATTCTTCTAACTTTCCGTATAACATTTTTGCCAGCACACGGAAAGCTGTATATCTCGCATTGTGTGCTTGGTCTTCCATATAATGCTTTCTCTATGTGCACGGTTGTTCCAAAGGGGCAAATTAATACACCCCGTTTATTGTGGCATATCTCTCCTGAAAAACGAGTCAGTCTAAATCCTTAGATATGAATTTCTGATCATTTTATGATATCAGAAAGCCAGAAAGATAGATAGCGATTGAAGCACATATTAAAACAGTTTGAATTGTTTACTTTAAACTAGTTGGTTTTAATTTCTTCTTGTGTGCAGAGCGTTCGCTATTCATTGGAGCTCGGGTTCTATTTGCTAAATAAATTTAAATACTTGTAGGAAAGAACATTTTGTAACTCGAAGATTTTTAATGTTCCCCAAAAGAGTTCGAACTATTCAGATTTATAATAATAATAATAATAGAACGAATATTTCAACAGGATAAAAGCTTCAACAAAATATTGCTGAGTTCAATGCCTGTCCTGCTCAAAAGAAAAGAAAAAAAAGGTAAAAACCTGACAAAAATTTTGATTACCAGTTTCGAATTCTTTTTCAATTGGGAATATTAAATTGTGATAGTAAATGGGAATTTGCCGCTTTACTATCACAATTCAATATCCCCAATTGATAAAGAATTCGAAACTGGTAATCAAAATGTCCCCGCCCCAAAGTGATACTCCCCTCCATTTCCGTCTGGTCAAATACATCCGTGTCTGACCAACATAGTGCCTGGGCCTGGCTTGATTCTTTTGATGATACAACAGATGATTCTTTTAGTGATTTTGAGCTTTGAAGTATGTATATCAATTTTTAACAAAAAGTTTTGTTTTACGCATTAGGAATTGGGCAAAGTTAGATATTTTGTTACGTCATCATCGAAAGTTTAACGATCCATGTCTCTTAAAATATAAACTTCACAGGGTTCATGTCTTATATATTTTTTTTATCTGTTTTGATTCTTTTTCAAATCTTGCCTCAGATTTATAAAAAATGACTTTTAATTTTTCTGACCGTAAAATGAAACTTTGCCTTCTCACGTGACCGGAAGTAAAATTTGAAATGGTACCTGGCAGATTTAAAATTTCTGGCATATTGGCATCGTGAAACAGTTTAAATAACCTTGATAACACCTGCGGTTAGTTAGTTACGGTTATTTCCTTGCCTATTAGCTGCATCCATCAGATCTATGGAGCTGGCAAAAAAGACAATATACAACAAGGTGGTTATGAATGAAGAAAACGAAACTTTTACCCCATTGATTTTCTAATGCAATGGTGGTATAGGCATGAAATAAAAAAATTTTTCCAACGTGTGTCGAAACTAATTGCTAAAAAACATCAACAAAAATTTCAGTTAAACCTCTGCCTGGATCAAAAGAAAGCTTAATTTTTGTTTACTCAGAACTGCCATAATTTGCATATGAGGCTCTAGGTTAAACATATTGTTCCTACTGGTGAAATGGGTGACCTTGACACTAGAAACAATTTGTCTAGCATCGCTAATTAAAAACATCATGTTTTAGTATTTTCTTTGTTCTTTTCATTTTGTAAACCGACAGCCTATCGGTATAAAAACAGGCTGAAATTTATTGTAAATTCCTCTATATTTTTTCAGAGAAGCAGTGAGCGTGAATCCACTAACACGCTCATTAATTTGCTAAATATGATTGACAGATGACTTAAGGCATTTAAATATCTGTCGATTGTCTTCAAAGGGTCTTGCGCAACCAGCACGCTTTGCGACTATAATTCAAAAAACGGCTTAATCTAATATCTAATAGCGCTTTTTTTAAAGTTTATTGAAAAAGGCCAGTTAAATCAACATATAGAAGATTTTACCTGACTTTTCATGCTATCAAACTAGCAAAACGTGATTATTTAATCTGGGCCGTCAATATTTCTTCTGTTCATTACGATCGCTAAAGATTTTCTCTATCTTGATTCGTCTAGTCTCTTTCCAGCCTTATGTCTTCAATACTACTATCGAAGCTTATAATCTAAAAATAACAATTTATTCATATCTACATACCGCTACGATTGCCATAAGATGCCTGAAAAAGAACAAACGCGATCAGCGTTTTAAAAAGCATTGGCGCCCAGTGTGATGCCATGACTGCATCTGCTACAGAATTCGACTGGAGCCTCAAGGATACGAGTGTAGATTATTATTCACCTGATCAATATTGTTTGAATTTGATAATTACTATTTGTTCAGTTGACAGTGTACAATCGACTCATAATTGTTGTTTATGCAGTAGTGTCAGGTAACAAAAATCTAATCGATTTTTATTTACGGATACCTCAGTAATGTTAGAATCATGCCCTATGAATTACTCCACATTTACAGCAAATGAAAATAATATGCTTTTTACAACAACTTAAACATGAAAAACATTCCATTATGTTCCCAACCAGGGTACCTCTGCCCTTTTGACCTTCAAAAGAGCAGCTTTAAAAACATCCCCAAAAAGTTTAGTTCATTCTTGAAGCCAATTCCTACTTCTTTATCGCTACACTTAATTCAAGGCCAGGCACGGCGCCACTGGGGGACTGGGGGGCTGAAGACCCCCACTTTTTCAGAGATAAATGTTTTTTACCACCCTTTTTTCTTTTTTTTTGAAAACACAATATGAAATAAAAAGAAAACAAACTATTTATAAACTGGTTGATTTTTTATACTTATTTACGTATATTTTTACCATTTGTTTATTGTTTGCATCTATTCAGTAGATAGCTTTCTGTATCATTGCAATGTCTGCATTTGGATGTGTAAACATGGCCTACTGAAAACACTCGCGACAAACAACATTTCGGTTCAAGAAGTAAAATTATCCCAATTAATACAACAGCTTCTTGCTATACAATCGATGTTCACTTTAAACGAAAGGCCACCCTTCTTTTCTTTCCTCAAAGTTTTTCTGAGAATCATCGAATTGTCTATTCTGAGCGTTATTGTAATTTGTTAAATTTTTGTCTGGGAGATGCATTTTTAGTCATTCTAGAAGGCTTCATCTCAAAAGTTTTACTTTTGTCGGACCCAGCTGGTGGGTCCTCCTATGCCACTAAACTTGACTCTTAGCCCCCCCCCAGTCTGTTTGAGTGGGTTACATATCCCTAGATGCCTAGAAAAAGGCTTTCCCAAGGTAGGACTAATGGCAATAGTACAATGCTACTAAACTAATGACTAATGGCAAATGAAATTATCAATAAAATGTCAAAATCTATAAACATTGATTGCATCAAGAAATGTGTCCAGGAAAATCGCTAACTACAGTGAAATTGTAAACGTTATGAATGATTACTTTTGTAGAATAGGTACCGACCTTGCTAGAAATTGTGGAGAAACTGTGAACCCATTATTATCAGGCAAATTTCAATAGAATGACACCAAAATTCCTATTCAAATCCATTACTGGCCATGACATAAGGGAAACCAATACGAAAACTGCCAATTCAAAGAGCTTGAAACTGACGCTATGTCAAGTTACTTCCTAAAACTGGCCTTGCCACTCTTGGAAAATTCCAACGCATAGACAATTTTTAGACAGGAATGGATTTTTAGGCAATGGATATTTTTTTTCGCTTAATTTGTTTAACAATAGTTAACTAGCTTAGAATCTGTTCATTTTCTGCATTTACTGAAAAACCCAAGGACAGAGAAGGATCTTCATTTTTATAGCTTTGTGAACATATGAACTTACATTTAGTACCCAAAATTTTGAATTAACTTTTCGGTTAAGCAGATTAAATGGAAATTGATCCCAAAGGAATTTTTTGAAACAGAAATTTTTTCTCACCAAAATTTTCAAACGCTAGGAAAATCTCTAAATTTCGGTTTGTGATTTCAATATAGCAAAAGAGAAATTCCAGTTGTCAATTCTGATATCACAAAGCATGATTGAAATGCATCGAGAACTTTCTGTAGAGATTTTTTGCTTCAAACAATGTTTGAGCATTGCTATGCATCCAATAGCATCAATTGTCGTTTCCAGTTTCTCCTTCTCCTTCGTCCCAAAGAAATAAGATTTCCAGCTCATCTTCACTTTTTCTCTTTCAGCAATGGATCTTCATAATTCTCCTCAATTATTTCCTTCAACCGTTCCAGCGGTTTCAATTTTTGCGCCTCGTTTTTTGAGAACTGTTGGCGAACGAAAATCTTGCGAACTGTAAACGCTTGCAACTAATTTTCTTCCATGGGCTTTGAAAAATTGAATAAAAAATACTTCCTCCAAATAAGATTTTATAACATTCTTGCCTACACTTTCACTTCTTTTCTCACCAAATATTTTCCTTCCACCAAAACATTTTTCTCACCGAAAGAATTTGAATCTCAATTTGAACTTTCAACATAATCTCATATGCAGAAGCCTTATGTGGTGGGGTACAACGAGAGCAAAATCATTCCATGAAAATCTCGTACACCTTTGCTGGAAATCCAATATCAAAATTTCTATAAAGTCAATAAAATAAGTAAAAAAAAATCATTTCAATACCTCCATCCGACACTGCTCACACTAAAGAATGCAGTTAAAGAATTGAGATTTACAGAAATAGATACGAAATAGCCAAATTGCATTCATGTAGCAAAGGATTTCTACTTGCGTACAGAGATAAAGTTTGTTGTCTTCCTTTGGTGCATGTTGGCTGCTCCTTCGCAGAAGAAGCAGTGAGGGAGAATTCTACTTGCGTACACAGAAAAAGTTTGTTGTCTCCCTTTGGTATCTTCAACTAACTAGGTGAGAGGTTAGCGGCCGCCAATTGACCAATGACAAAGGACCTAGGAAATTACCCTGGGTACCAGAGACTCAAGAAACCGGGGATAAATTAGACCGCTGCAGTAGCAAAGAATGAATGGATGCGTAGGAGGGGAAGGAAAGAGGCTCTGCTCTGATCTGACAGGGTTCAATTTCTGGGATTCTGTCTCTGATTGGACAATTACTGGGGCTGCAAGACAGTCAGTGGTGGAAATTATGGGGGTTTTGGGGGGGCTCGGACCCCCTATCAGCGATGTTGTCGGAAAATTCGGGCTTTCGTCGGATAATTGACAACCTTTTAACGTGTCGAAATTACTCCAAGAAATCGGGCCTCTCTAACCTCTCTGTGCCTTTTTTGCAAAGTTTGAACATAGCATAGCTGATAAACAAATTAGCCAGTACTAAATAGTCAAACAAACAATATATGACCAAAATAAAAACTGCTTGTGAATTTTATATTTAATTTCAATTCCGTAAAGATTAGCCAAAATTTCCTTCGGATTCTTCTGAACAAAAGTTATTTTCAAATGTATTTTTTACTGACGAAAACAAGATAAAATGAATAAAATGAACGTCAAAAGTGTAATCGGTCTACCTCTTGTATCACAAATTGTCTTAGATGAGATATCGATCTTGATATCAAAAAACCACAAATGGATTGTTCTTCTTGCTACTTAATTATGGCGTGGTCAGCAAAGACTTCTAGAGAGTCCTGTCAAAAAATCAACTATTTTTATCAAAATTTGCAGTTTCTTTGAAATTAGACATGGTCCATGATGTTATCTTGTCGGAAAATCGTAGGCCTGGCTCCCCCCAAATCAAAGCCTGAATTTCCTCCACTGACGACAGTTTACTTTAGTGCTGAAATAAAACCCAACTGATCACAAAGAACGTCCCTTACTGGTATTAAAACTTATTTAAATCCTCTTTCAACGATCTCTTAGATAAAGAGCTGGACAAAGCCTCCATTAAAACTAAAACTTTTCATTAAAACTTTTCATGAATTTGTTGTTTCTTTTTACAAATAATGAAAAATAGCGTCAGAATTGGCTAGAAAGTTCCTAATGCTCCTAGGGATTCCATTCTAATCGCCAAGAGTTTCGAATTAGAATATTTCCTCTGCGTGTTCAAAGTGCTATCTAGAAATCTCTACATTTTGTGGTATTTTTCTATGACCTGAAGTTTGGTGAAGTTTGTTATTATCGTTGCCAAAAAAGCATTGTGCCAGCCCAAAAAATAACGCTGCAACAACCATGTTAAAACGAGTCTTTCTTCCAAAGAACTCTCAGAATAGGCTCAATTTTACCATGCCGTCGGAACGAAATTCATATTAGGGGGAGGGGGGACTGCCCATTGTATTCCTTCTCATTCAATACAATGTTATAAAGGAAACATACAACAGCTTGACAATAATTGGGGGCTCCAGCCCCCCAGCCCCAGCCCCAGCCCCTCGGTTTTGACGGGCCTGAAATTTTCTTACCCTGGGTATCAGAGCTTAGGTGCCCAAGATTTTTTGCCCAAAACGTAATGCTTTGGTGCCTAATGCTATTTTTCCCTGTCATTACAAAGGTTTGCAGCTCCTTGTGTTATTGGAGTGCTTGAGCCGACAATAACAATTACAAAAGAAATGCTAAAATCCTTTGTTTCCAAAGAACAGTGCCTCTTGTTGCTATCGTTCTCAAACATTGTGTTCCCTATAATACTTTCCTTCTTGCAGCACTATTTTAAAGTAAACATTTGTATGAAAATCAGCGACGTAAAAGTAGAAATCGACAGGAAAGTGGAAACATTGTAGGATTCGATCCACATACCCAAGTATTTGTTGCTCATATCCATGTAGAAACGTTGTTTTGATTTCAACTTAAATAGTTCCAGGAAGTAGAACAAGGGTGTATTGTTCTATTGTCTCGTCCGGTTCAGCTTCCGCATCCTGAGGCCATTCTCATGAAGAGAAGATAAAGTCACGGATCTGTGACAAAGTTTTCATTCATAATTTTCGAAGAAACTCGCACCGTGTTGCTGTCAGAGAAAGAAGCAATGCTGAAGCTTTTTTTACTGTTCCTATGCACCGGTGCCCTTTGTATCACCGTTGAAGCGCAAGGTAAGTATTTCAACACTTACTGTTATCCTAAACAAAACAAATTTACTTCAATTTGGCCTAATGTAAAAATCGATATACAATAACACGTACGGGATTACGATAATAACAGTTTGGCCGATGCTTTGAAAGGGTTTCTTCTATCTTGTGGTTTTAGGCAGTCATATTTACTGCATTTAAAAGATATAATTATGATGATGGTAAAGTTTTTAAAGCTCTATGATAGTTTGGCCATTCTTGCTCTTTTTTGTGTCGTCCAGCGACAGCGTTTTGTCTCTAGTAAGATGTTTGGATGCATGAATTTTTCGTCTACAAATTAAAAAATATATCTAAAAGACTTAATAATGAGTAAATACTTCGTTCAAGCCACAACATTAATATCATACTTCGCAAAGAAGTGAGGCTACAGCCCCCAGCCCCCCCCCCAGTTACGGTGCGCTGGATTACTGGATTAATTCTTGGATCTTGTTTGACTTCAAATGATCACCAAAAACCGCAATATTTGTTGGAATGTAAATGTTTCTCAATACTTTTTAATCTGTTTGAAAATTAGTTTGGCTCTTCCAGTTAGCGATAGTTACTTTACCTTAGTAATGATCGCCCAAAGATTCATCTCGTTTGCCATACGCTCTTTTCTCTTTATAAGAACAATTTTATAAGAACACGAGCCTCAAAATTGGTCCATAGTTAAGAACAAATTAAGAACAAGCTAAAGCTGAGTTACTGTAAAATGCAATTTTGAACAACGTTTCATCTCAAAACGAGGATTTTTAGCCATATGTGGGTGCTTATTCAAGCTTTTCGGCAAATGAAGGTTGTCTCATTCACTTTGTTGGAAAATGAGGCCTGAACACCTCCCTAGAGCGAAAATGCTAGAAATCGCACTGCTTACACCCTATTAATTTAAAAACAAATTAAGAGCAATCCAGCCTCGGATTTTCGAAAACATTATGAGCAGTCAGCCTGAACCTAAACTTACAGGTTCTTATAAAAAAGAAAGTAAGGCTTTTCATTAAAATTTCTTTGATATGCAGGCAAATATATCACATCTGCAGGCATAATCAACAATAGTCCCTCCAAGAGCATCAAGTTTGTCTGAAATTTTGAGCTTGTCTGGTACCTTCTTCTAAATAGAATACTTTAGCTTTGGCCCCACCCCCAATATGAGACTCCACATGCGCCTCTACCCATTATGGTTACATTATATTATTCTTCGAATTACAATTCAATTGACGGTCGATTATATGTATCCTAAACATAAATATTTTTGTAATTCCATTACTACCAATATTTCAATGTATTCAACTATAACGTAAGTCCTTTAGTTTTAATAAGAGTTAGTAATAGTTAATGCCTCATAAATAGGGAAATTATTGCACTTTTTCTTATATAAAACACTATTTTCATAAGAAATCTAGTGCTGAAAGTAGTTTGATTTTGAAAAATGGTCTGGAAGATGATTGTTTGTGCAATTCAGCTTTAAATCGATTAAATACCATCCCACCACAAGCGTTAACATATACTGAGTTTCTAAATAATATTATACTTGGCCTACTAGGCAAATGATAAATTTATGTTACATTTACTTGTTGAACCGAATTTTGACTATTATTGATATTTGCAATTTAGTTTTAGCTATTCTTTGCAATTTATCGATTCAACTTTTGGTATACCTCTACCTACAGGGTGTCGTGATCGTCATGAAAACTGCTACTTTTGGTATCTGGCAGGCTATTGCCACAATGTCATGCATGCGAATGCCATGATGTCAGTTTGCCCAAAATCTTGCGATTTATGCTCACCCACAGGTAAGACGTTACTTCAATTTATCCACTATGCCTTTCACAAAGGAACAAAAGTTTTGAGTTCATATTTCGGAGGTTTCAGTGGAATGTCTGATATCAGGTTTTTGATGTTGTTGTGTTGTGCAGTGTTATGTTTGATACAAGGCACGTTGTATAGTTCAAAACAACGATATGCACATCAGAAGATTGGTTTTTCGAATGAAGACTTTCGTGAATTATCCAGAGTTGTGAAACCAGGGCTCTGTAAGAGTTAAATTTCTTTCGGGGGAAGCTAGAGATGTTTTTCAAGAGGTGGGGGCTATAGGTTCTGTATTTCTGTACCACATAAATATAGCCATAACCTCAGTGTTTTACGACACCTCAAAGGATGATCCCATTTCCTATTGAGATGGATTTCTCCTTATTACAACCTAGATAATTATGATAATTATGATAATTATGATAAATAGCAAAGAATCGCATAACTTTCATATCTCGTTTTTTAAGAAGCCTGGTTTCTATTCATGGACGGGCGATCTTTCCTTGAAATCACAAAACATTTGAAAAATAGGAATACTTTAAGAGAATATTCAGCCTCAAAACAAAAATATCTTAAGAATACCGAGGCTGGATATAATTTGTAGAACCCTTATAAATAAAAAGCGAACTGACTTTAAGATTTTCATTCATTTCATTTTATTTTTGAATTGTTTATTCAGGGTAGGAGCGTCAATTTCAATACTGCTTTACAGCTTGCCCGTGTAAACTGAAAGCAAATAAAATAAGGTTCATCGAAAAGGCTAGAACAGCTCGTTTTTCCGTTGAGGTGGCTTATTATTTTTTTATCTTAATGGAGATTTTGTTTTACTTCTTGTACGATTTCAACTAACAGAGTTGTTCTATTCGCTAGGCATCTTCTCTTTTCGGAGGAATCTAGGTAAGTCTTGCAGCCCTTATATTGAAAGTATCTAATCAATACTTGCCTTCTGATCTCTTAAAGCGTATTGTTTGCTGTATTTCATGCAGCCAAGCCCATAGAAAAAATCTAATTTTCTTGCCTTTGCCCTCTGTAACCGCTGTGTGCCTAGCTGCACTACAGTTAATTCCATGCAGCAAATTATTTGAACAGGTATGCAAAGAGTCTTTAAGGAAGAGTTTAGATTTCTGCAACATGAGAATGCTCTTTCATAGCCTAGTTCCTTTTTCTGCAATAACTTGCTAATATTTTTGAAAGCCAAATGATAAGGTGTGAAGAAAATTCAAAGGTTAAGGAATTTTCATTTTTACATTTCAACTTTTAACCCTGGTCAACCTTAACCTGGGTTGAGCCCACTCTCTTCACTTTGCATTCACCACAAAGTATAGTGTAAATCCAAAACTGGTTGACTCCAGGTTAGGGCCGCCACCCGGGAAAACATGACTTAAATGTTGCTGAAAATATTTTGGCAAAAAAATGAAGCTATGAATTGCCATGCATGACCCATGAATCCTGGGAGGGGGGCGGGGGGCCATGGCTCCTCCACTTTTCTGCAAAGCAAAATAATTTTTTTTAGGCAAAAGTGGAAAGAAAACTAGTTAATACCAAATTTATGTAACCGTGCTTAGTAATTTCTTAGATATGATCTTAGCATAAACTTGGTGACTATGTATTTAATAAAGATAACAATTGAAAATTGAAAATGGGAATTCGGTCAAAAAATCGGTAAATGTCCAAGTTGTACAGCGTGTAACAGATTGGCTAAGGAAATAGATCGAGAAACCTGATTTAGAATAACTTTGTGCCTGCTCCAAATGATTAAGTCTTGTATTTCCTATGGCCTAAACTTGGCTCCAAAGGTCTATTTGTTGACAGAAAGTTTCTCATGTCTACAATTTTAAGAACTGGAGTTTGAATTTCTTCGTGGAGTTTGAATTTGCACACAGGCTACCAATCATTGGTTACTGGTGTTGCGAAAAATTTTGTTTCTAAGAACTTGTTGCAGTAGTGCAAGCTTGAGCGGTCGACTTCTGTAAAAGCCTCTGATTGATATTTTTAGTTGTAATGATTTTCTAGATATCAATTTTAACATAACCCGTCCACCCGTATACGGATATTCTTGAATAGGCAAATTTTCTATGCAGACAGGCCTTGCGTATACTTGCATTCAACGAAAACTCTCTCGTATCCGCACATTTTCGGTTTTGCTCGCCAGCGTGAAAATTTCTTCATCACACTACGAATCCGGTGGTTTTTAATACGATGGCATAATACCTTCTCGCGTCTGCTTGATGGCGCATGCTCTTAAGAAGAAGTTCACAAAGGAGCTGAGAAAACTACTGGAAATTATAGGTGTGGGTGTAAAAATTTTTGAATCCGGAAAGAAGAGTAAGCGGATTCAAAAATGTCCGCAAACGCGTGGAAGGGGATCTAGACTAGTTATATTTTGTTAAAAATATTTTGTGTTGTCATTTTCTGCTATGTCTGTTTTGAAAGTCGCCAAAATTTCAAACCATGGTTACCATTGCCATTTTTTGGTCATTTTCGTCAACGTCAAAAAGTTTTGACGGCAGCTGTAAATGTTATCAAGTGTTTCTTCAATGAAGTAGTTGCCCACTTGTTTATAAAAATAAATTCTAACAGAACATTGAGGCTCGAAATTAATGAATTTCACGAAATTAATAAAGAACGATAGCACGGCTAGAATGTCATCAAAATTTTGACTTCTTATCTATATGAGTTTTTTAGCAAACAAGACAAGCTTATATTCACTGCCAAAAGTTTGAGATAAACTCGTCAAGCTTTTATCGTGCTGGATTGTTTAGTTTCCTTCAATCTTTTCCCTATGAAGAATGAAAGTAACAAAAGTCTGAATTTCTTCTCAAGAACGATTTATTAATATGTCTTATCATCAAAATAAATTTTTTTAAGAATTTTGGAGCTCAGCAAAAGTTAAGTTATTCTTATAAAAAGTGTATAGTCATGTTCTGAATAGAATATGATATTGATATTCGAAGTTTGAAAATCGACAAAATTGGCAAAACCGAGACAAAAACTAGACGCCAAACGTGTTTATTTGGCTTCAGGTCTTTCTTAAGAAAAGTATTATTGTCATTCCCACGCATATCTGCACTACAATCTGAGTATCAATGTTTGGTTCTGACAATTCACTGTTATATTTAAACAGTTGACAGCAAATAGCCTTGAACTTCATGACAATCCAATCAACTCTAACAACTCATATTCAATACCCACTTGCAATCGCCTCAAAATTATATTTGCCCATTCTTGCTGAGCAACCATATTTCCATCGCTACTCGTTAATAATGAAGCTCTTCCTCAAAAAATATTTATCAAGCTGCTTTTGCGTTTACCTATCAAAGATTTTGTAAGTACTGCTTGTACAGATGGCAAAGGGGATTTAAATACTATTTTGAAATCAAGAAGAAACCCAACTCATGATTTTTGCAGTTGAAAACATGGCGGCTACCACAATGCTCGTTGTCTTTCTGGCAGTTTTATATACTGTGAATGGTGAGTTGAAAAAATCAAGCACGATTCATCTGCAGCAGTATTTTAAACTGATTTTTTCATCGCTAGATTGCCGCTAGATTCACCGTTGTTGCTCTTGTACGGTTGGAAATTGTTCCGTTCGGTTGTCCTGTTTAAGTTGTACCGGGATAAATTGTAGAGCAGTTTTAAAAAATGCTGCTGTTCATTGACCAATGCTTCAAATTTGCTGCTAAAATAGTGGCTCGCTGTCGGAGAGAAAACGAAACATGGAGAAGAAGAGCGATAAACAGAGGCTTTTAAACCTGATCTCGTTGTGAAGACTGCTTGTCTCGGTTGGGCGTTATCACTGTCCTGTTCAAAAACAGAACCGTGACTTTAATTTGTAACAACGAAGTAGTTATGTTGCAGAAAGAATTGTTGATTCTGATTTTTAAATTTTGAAAAGTTATGTAATCTGTTTTTCTTTATTGGTAGCATGCGTTGATAAGGAATCAAGCTGCCCTAGTTACAGAGATGCTGGATACTGTGACCGATACCGTGATTGGATGCGGACGAATTGTGCACGATCTTGCGGCCTCTGTCCAACCCAGGCGCCAGCTACAGGTATACATTTTCAACAAAAACGCATCTTTTCATGACATTGTTTGAAATGTCATAAATTTTATTTTTGTTTGGTAGTACCATTAATTTTTTTATCTGTTAATAACATAAGTTGATCCACAGCCTAGTGGGGTTCAGTCCCTAATTCCACCTGATTAACCCCTAGAAATCCCCTTATATTCAACCACTAGCATTTTAGTTCCATCAATTGGTTTGCTAATTGCTCAATCCTCACCAGCAACGTATCTTCAAAGCTCTCTGAATGCATTGCTTCAGACTCGTGTTTTATTTTTACCCATGTTATCTATGTAATTAATTTTTTCCAAATTCTTCTGTAACCAAACGCTGACATCCATATCTTCTTTTGCCAGAAGGTAATGACGGGGTATGTAGGCCCTTCACAAAAAACTATATACCAAGTGACGAAAGTATGATAACAATAGCTGATAAACATGAAAAAGGAATAACTTCATAAGAGTGATTAGCTTAGATGTAGGCCCTTAAGCTGAGATGAGATGTCATTGAAACTTTCTGTTTTTCTTTCTTTTTCGCGTTGTCTGCATATCGTAATAGGCGTAGACTTTGGGGGGGCTGGGGTTTGAGCCCGTACTGACGAATATTTTGGGGGCTCAGCCCCCCTCCCTCTCGTGAAGTATGGAGGTTGGCTATCAATTTGTTAGAATAATTCTTCATATCCTTGGTTTCATGCATCATGCAAAATCATTTCAAGGGGTTTAATCAAGATCAAATAATAGCGATAATGAAAAATGTCAAAGAAAACACCTCAGAACTCCCAGAAAGGCACCTTTCTACCCTCGGCCGTCGACAACCTCCATTAGCAATTGTAATTACCTTTTGAGCCAAAGTGAAACAACATGGAAAGATCTGCATCTCTAAACGATGCTTCTGTTTCCATTTCAAACAGGCTGTCAAGATTTGAACAACTATTGCTCGACTTGGAAGCAATACTGTGACTCAAACAGTATTTATTGGCCGTACATGACAAAGAACTGCAGGAAGACTTGCAACTTATGCACAGGTAATCTTAATCGCAGTCTGGCTGAACTGTAGATAAAACTAACTGGCTGAATTGTAGATAAAAATATATTAATAGTATCAGCGACAGTTGTTAGTGGGTAAGAGTGTAAATTCTCTTCTAGTTAAGTTACCCAGTTTTCAAAAGCTGCAGTTAAAATGTTCTATGGGAGTGTTGCGAAAGTGCTTGTTATATTTAGAGACGTCTATTCGTTTTGTATTAAAAACCTTAAGAGTTTGTTGATTTAACTCTGTCGCTTTATTTAATAATCCTTGTAAAGGTAGAAAATCTTTAAGGTTAAACACAAAAAACTGCTTTTAACCATTACTGCTTTTGTTTAAACGTCTCCGAAGGTATCTGATCTTCATTAGTACATTTATACATCTATTTTTTCTTAGATGGTGGCACTGGTGGAGGTGGTTCAGGTGGCACTCAAGGTCAGTTTGTCCCATTTCATTTCAACAAGTTATTTTCAAGTTTAAGTTAGGGTAAGGTAAAGTGCATTGATGGGAATTCTATAGCAATGGAAAGAGTTCTTAAGTGATGACGTCATAAAAATGTATTTTAAGAGTTTTTACATTTGGATCGCAGAAGTAAAAAAGCACCGAGTAGTATCAAGTAGTGACCAATCCAAATGTTCAAAGTCAGTTGAATGCGTTATTCACTGGCTTAAATATAGCCGTATAAGCACAGGCTCTTTCCCCATCAAACCTCTTTAGAATTTGATCTTGTTTCATAACTTTATGAACCAGGCCAGAATAACAGCAATCTGTTAGGAAATTTGAAATCTTTCATTGGCCTTATCTCACACTTTTTTGAACATATCTAACTGATCTTTTAGGTTATGTGATCAAAATTTAAAAATTTTAAAAATAGTCTTTTATGACGTCACATTTAAAAACTCTATTTTTATATCCCCAATGGTCTAAGGCGTCTTTCCCGTAACATTTAGAAAATATCATGAAGGATTTTGCATTCTGATACTTTGTTAGGAGGGTCTCTGGGAAGAGGGTATGGCTTTCCGACAATTATTCTAGTTCTTTCACACTTTTTTGGCAACGGTAATGTCATAAAGTAGCATTTGTTTACGCCACTTCTTTTAGTTAACCTAGCAGGCAAGAGTTTGAATCATCAAGCTTTAAAAGACTTCGTACTTGAATTCGGCGTTTGTGGTTTTGGTAAATGTGTATTGCAGTATTTGTTGCTGATTGTCTTAAAAAGTTTGAATTTTTATGCTTCCTCTAGGCAAGAAAGAATATGAATGTGATTTTGAAACGGATTTCTGCGTATGGGCCAATCAGCCTATTGATGATGCAGCCAACTGGGTTATCGGCGTTGCAAGTGGTGGACCATCTTCAGGTGCCAATGGATCAGGTTGGTTCCAAATTTCTTTTTTGCAGCGTGCAGTTTTATACTTGACTCAATGCCATCTTCTTTGCGTGAATTAATGACATGCAAACGTTGTATGGGGCTCTCTCTCTAACAAAAAAGTAGAAGCCCCCCAACATCTTCAAAATAGAGCTCAGTCTTTGATCGATCGGAGATGACCTATAAGATGATGAATAAGATATGCCCTGAAAGCCTTTTGGATAAATATAAAACAAAAAATCGAGTTATAGAACAAAAACTGCACGGTTATTCGAATTCCGAGTTATAATATTGAGTTCTCTAAGAAAAGCTTTCACTTTTCGGGTCTAAAGGTTTGGACAGAAATCCTTACTACCATCAGGGAGCTCCCTACTTTGAAATAATTTAAAAAACATCTCAAAATACATTCAAGGAGCTGAATTTAACTCAAACACGACTCCCTGGAAGATCAGCCCCATCCTAGTGCTATTTCATATGTATATTTTTTTGTATGATTGTAAATTTTGTTTTTGCTGATGGGATTTTTCGTGTATAACCAATACATGATAATAATAATAATAATGGAAACATTTCATTTTCAATTCAACTTAAACTACAATTACAAATCTCACTATTACAAGGTAATTTGCAATTGGCTAGCCTGGTTTTACAAGAAAAAACTATAACAATCGTAAGGTAAAAGGAAAAACTGAGAAAAATAAAATAAAATAAAACAACTAAAGTTAAAAAGGATGTAATTCTGGATTTGTCCATTGCTTATTTTTGCAACAAAATATGTAGTACGTAGTACGGATGGCAATGTTGGAAAGTTTAGAAATGAGATACCGTTTTTGTTGCTGATCGATGGAGAGAGAGTCACACATTTTGAAGAATTAATTGCAGGAATTGCCGAAGATGCCAAGAGAGCTCATAGAAAGATTAACAAAGGAGACACATTTGAACTGCCGCTGTAAACCAGATAAAAGAGGAGCATACTTGCTGTGTTTTCTTGTAGCATTTGTGTTAAGATTGGATTCGAAGCCAACAGTTAGCTCTAAAATGTAGAGGTAATTGTTGTTAGTCCTCAAGAGAAGATCAGGGCGAAGGTTTTCTCCAGTTATGATTGATGGTGAAAGATAGCCAGGTATATCAGCGTAGATGGTAGATTCATTGACAGCTTTTAGTGACGTAGCTAGAAAGTTTAATAATAATAATAATAATAATAACAATAATAATAATAATTAATAATAAAATTAATTTAATGAATTGAATACCAACACACTAAACAACAATCAATCCACCATCCACAAAATTTAAAATATATATAAAATACAAAAAATAATAATAATAATAATAATAATAATAATAATAATGGAAAACATTTCATTTTCAATTCAACTTTAAACTTACAATTACAAATCTCACTTATTTACAAGGTAATTTGCAATTGGCTAGCCTGGTTTTACAAGAAATAACTATAACAATCGTAAGGTAAAAGGAAAAACTGAGAAAAATAAAACAACCAAAATTAAAACGGATGTAATTCCGGATTTGTCCATGGTTTATTTTTGCAACAAAATATGTAGTACGTAGTACGAATGGCAATGTTGGAAAGTTTAGAGATGAGATTACCGTTTTTGTTGTTGATCGATGGAGAGAGGAGTCACACATTTTTGAAGAAAGAGATGCAGGAATTGCCAAAGATGCCAAGAGAGCTCATAGAAAGATTCACAAAAGAACACATTTGAACTTTCGCTGTAAGTCAGATAGGAGAGGAGCATACTTGCTGTGTTTTCTTGTTGCATTTGTGTCAAGATTGGATTCAAAACCAACAGTAAGCTCTAAGATGTATAGGTTAATTGTTGTTAGTCTTCAAGAGAAGATCTGGGCGAAGGTTTTCTACAGTTATGATTGATGGTGAAAGATAGCCAGGTATATCAGCGTAGATGGTAGATTCATTAACAGCTTTAAGAGACGTAGCTAGAAATGTTAAGATAGAGTTATGACGCCAGGGTGTATCGGCCTTGTTCCAAGTATGTTTGCAGCCAGCAACAACGTGAAGGAGGGTTTCTGGCAGAAAAACAGAAAGAACAATCAGAAGTCTGGCTCAAGTTCCACTTTTTTCAAGTTTTTCTGTGTAGCAAGGGTATTGTTCAGGTACCTTATGGTGAAATTGAAAATATTCTGAGGCATGCTACTTTGCACCTTGGACCAAAGTTTTGTTTATTTGTGAAGATCCTGGTTAAAAAGATGTGACAATAAAGATCCTTGGGAAGTTAGAATGTTTTGCAGACGATCTTTATTGTTCTTGCTGGACAGCCTTTAATGCTTCTTTCGTGTTTCCTATATATATCATATTGTATATTTGTGCTACTGCTGGTATTTTTCCATAAAGAGCGAATGTTATCGTTTGGTGAAGATTTCAATGCGTTGCGTAAAATAGTTTGACACTGTAGGAATTTGGCGGATGGTAAAAGTTTAGGCTGAGTATAACACCAATACTAATTGGTCGTATCTATAGATAAATTATTTTCTAGTAGTCAATGCTACTCAAGTAGCCACTTATTGGTGTAGGCATTTTGAGTGGAGTATGTCT